TGCTGCCAATGGTCTTACAGCTGCCCTCGGCAGAGAACAACTGCTGGTCAACCAGAAACCACTTCGTCTGGGGGTGACATGGCCACGCAGAGGAGAAGGCAGCCCAGGAGGACTGAATGAGGTACTGTGCACAGTGCCACACCTGTCTCGGGCCAGCTCGGGAAGCAATACCCAGTGTCTAGGCTCAGGAGGAAGTGGGCTCTGTCTCTAGCTTCTGCTCTCCTTTATCCCTTTTCCCACTAAGAATTTCCTCAATAAATCATGTCCCTGGGTTCCTACCTCAGGCTCTGCCACTGAGGAACCTCACTCACAGGCCTTGATGCAGCTGCACTGCGCAGACTCTGATACAAACACCAGGAGTCCCTTCCTGGTGTGTGGGAAAGACTGAAAGTCAATGTCTGCAAAGAAGCAGGACACTGTAGATACTGCAATGTCCCTAACAAACATGTGTAAATGTATTTTAAATAAAACGGCAGGCTTATATGAAAACTCTAATGTCACAGTTGGCACTGATTTACTTAGCCTCGTGAGAAAACAGAAATGGATGTATGTGTAAAAAAAATGGAACAGGATGTCGTGCTGAGGTTACATAAAACCCATGTCTGCCCTCAGATCTGCTGCATGGTAAAGAAGGATGCACTTTGATTGCCATGGGGAGCTTAACTAGACTGTATGTCATGGTCAGGGGATTGTGGAAGCCACAGATCTGCCATGCATGCTGATCTGTGTGACTCTCTGTGTTTTGGAGACAATAAGAATGTGCAGACCTCATTTGCAATCTTCACTGTGTTGTAGCTGTCACCATACTAGTGGATAATATTGTGTATGACATGTTTTCTGCAGGTGCAGTTGATATGAGATCAGCCTCCAAAATATCTTCTCCCACAAATACCAATGAGAAGCCTTGCTGACTATCAGGCATTTCCAAACTGTGGATTCAAACATGCTATTATAAGATGTACAATAAAAGATCTAGTCAGAATGCACATATGCCTCTTCCAACTCAGAGTGCAATAATGTATTCATTTAGTCACTCAGATTTTAAAGTTTTACACTATGAAAGACTTAGAGACTCAGAGTAAGTGGCAAAGAAATGTGTGGGGAGGTTCCCTGTGTACCCCAGCCCTAGCATCTTGCATGGCTATCATGCACTATCAAAATCCACATCATCTGCCCACTGTCCTGCCCCTGCTGTCCCACCCAGCTCTCCTGCTGGGCCACCTTGACCACTATGAACCACTCACCTGTTCTCCAATCTCTGTAATGTTATTTCAAGAACTTTATATAAATGGAATCAGGCAGCATGCAACTTCCTTAGATCGGAGTAAAAAACAAGTGGAATATAATGCCCTTCTGTCTTACTTTTCTCATTGTTAAGACAAAATACCTAACACTTAAAGTTAAAGGAGAAAAGGCTTATTTAGCCTACAGTTTGTGGAGGCTTCAGTCCATAGTCAGCTGGCTCGAAGGCAGGGGGCATCACAGAGGACAAACATTAAAGCAACAAGACAATAAAGCAACAAGGGATGCCCACAGCTCTTTCTGTCCCTTATATCTCACCCAGGCTACTTAGGGCAGGCAGCACCCACACCCTTAATCCTAGCGCTCTTGAGTCTAGCATTGCACCATGGATTCATCACAGCATCACACACTCTAGACCCAGCCACCTCTGATAAAACCTCATTTATGACAGCAGGAGGTTTTGGGGGGGCATCTGGACATAAGCCATGACACCGCACAATTCTCCTAAGCTGTTGTACCCTCAGTAGCCTGTTCCTTTCGAGAGTGAGCAATACTCCATGCTATAGGCACTTTACAGTCTAATTACTGACCAGCAGAGGCTGCTGGTGAAGTTGCCAGTCTGGCCTACTATAAATAAAACTGTTGGGCCAGGGATGCAGCTCAGTGGCACAGCACCCGCCTATCGAGTGCAAGGTCCTGAGTTCTATTCCTGATACCAATAAAAAGAAAATTAAATTTAAAAAGCCACTGTCTGTGGATAATCTTATACAAGCTTGGACATGAGCAGGAGCAATGTTGCTTTCTCCAGGATAAAGGTCTAAGGACTTATACGGCAAGTGTGACTTGGGTTTTAAAAGAAATGGTACAGCTGTTTTCGTGTCATTGTTTACATCCCACCAGCAATGCTGAGTGAAACAAATTCTCAGCCTCATGGCCAGGATCGAGTGCTGTTGTTTTTCTTGTATGACTTGCAGCGGCGGACCCTTCTCAGTGCCGTTCCCAGTCTCTGTTTCCCTGGTGGATGGTTGTATCGAGTGTCTTTCCATGTGCTCGTTTCCCAGTTATATAAGCTCTCTGTGAAATATCTCTTTGTAGTCTCCTTGTCCATATGCTAACTGGATTGCTGGCAGTTTATTTTCACTGTTGAATGTTGACAGTTCTTTATATTCCAGATACCAGTCTTTGCCAGCTATGAGATTTGAATCCATTTTCTTCTACTTAATTTTTTTATTCATCCTCTTAACAGTCTTTCACAGTATGAGCATTTTCAATAATGATGAGTTCCAATTTATCAGTTTTTCTTCTTGATAGCTTTACAGCAATAGGGATTTGTTGAATATCTAAAATTCATCAGAATAATTTTGTAGGCACCCCATAGGAATCCAAGATCTGACACAGCCCTAATGTGGAGGAGGAAAAGATAAGTAGGTGGTGGATAAAGTTTTTATTTCATCACTTCCATGCCTGAAAATGCCACCAGATGGCACAGGAACTACCTTTATAAACTCACCTTTTCTGGGGTAGAATTATATATATACTTTTTACAGGACTGATATGTATTAAGTCTTTTTGCAAAACAATTATACTGCATCAATTAATAAAATCTTATAAGGAAGTTTCCTTTATATTAGAGAACCTAGGATTCAGCTAAGCTAAGTAACTGACCGAAGGTCACACAGCCAGCAAGGGATCAGCTCAGCCCAGAACTGTATCTTCTGACTAGTGGTCTTTGAATTCTACCCAAACTCCTCTGGAGGCACATCCTGTCACAGCCAGTATGAGCTCACCCATCTCCTGGCTACCAAAGGGACTGTCTGACTTCTGGTTTAAAAAATGACATGATTCAGTTCCTTGTGTGCACACATGTCAAATGGCTCCATGAAGCCCTTACAGTGGTCAAGACCACACAGAAAGTGGCCAAGTCCAATGAACAGCAGGAATAGATATTCCTGGAATTCAGCAATGTGTTGCGGATGACTGATCAGGATGGGCAGTGGCATTTCGGGTCCTCTCTTGCTATGCCCATGGTCACCCAAATCATCTTCAAATGTCAAACCTTTCCTGAGGAAAATCATGAAATATCAAGACCAGCTCTGGTAGAGGCGAGCAGGGCCCATTTCTGACCTAAAGGGTCATGCAGATGGGGAACTGGGACACTTACTCATAAGCCCCTGGGGCTTCACCAGATCTTTTTTTTGTCGTACTTGTGACCTTGCTCATTTAATCAGTTTGTATTTCTGACTTTTTAAAATGTTTATAATTTAGGAAAGGTGCTAGGACCTTGATTTGGGCTATAAAGAGGCAGACTAATGTATCAAGTGGGTTTTGCAAAATGCCTATGTTATACTAACAATGTTGGAACACAGCCTGGTTGTTAACTTTGCTGGATGCACATGAAACAAACACTTTGACCCTCGACACTCAAGTATGTATCAGTGCAGGAGCCACTGCAGAGCCTTGACTGTCACTCAGCATGGACAAGCGTGGGCCTTATTTGGGTGAGTCCATGTGCCTTTGTATGCTTAAGTCTGAGGTGTTCGTCTATTTCTTGTTACACAACAAAGCACCCAAAGCTTTGTGCTTTCAGAAGGAGTGGGACTTAGTTCACAGTCCGGAAGTTCTAGGGTATCACCCCGACACTGGCTGGGCTCTGGTAAGGACACCCCTGGCTGTGTCATACCATAATGGATGGTGTCATGGTGAAACCACAGGAAAGGGACAGACCACAGTAGGACTGGAAGCTGGCAAGGTGGGGGCAGCCTTGTTCTTTTTATAAGAGTGAGAAGGAACACAGATCCCACCAGAAATTAATTCCTTCCCAGGGCAGCCCCTCCAGTGGCCTCCCAGCAGACCCTAAAGGTTCCAGCACTCTTTAACATCCCACATTGGGAACCAAGCTTCACACACAAGCCCTTGAGGGACAAACTACTTTCAAGCCATTCCAGAGGGCTCCTGTTCTGCCGAACCAAGCGTCCTTGGGAACCTCTTGCTTAAAATATGGCCAGGTCTACGGACTGCCACACATTCCAAGGAGGGATGAAGGAAGGGGGGAGGAAGAGAGAGGGAAAAAGGAAGGAAAGGAGGCACAGAAGGAAGAGAGGGAGGTAGGGAAGGGAGGGAGGGAAGAAAGGAAGGAAGGGAAGGAAAAAAGAAAACTTCCTGTAAAGACTGGGCATGTTTCCATGACACCTCTGACTTATCATCGTTTGCCCCTGTTGAATCCTACAGGGCAAAGCAGAGGTCAGGACCCAGAAGCAAGGTCTCTCCTTTCTCAAAGTGCACGGAAAGCCACGCGGGACGCACATGTAGGATGCCCAGGTGGATCACAAATTTGTTATGCTTTTTCTTTCCCTCATACCATTTTTGTTTTAAACAAATATCTTCATGCAGCAAATCACGGGCGGCACTTGGTTTATCCATTAAGAATATATTGGCCTGACAAAAGCAAACAACAAAAATAGCCAGGGATATGACATGGAGTAAAATTAAAAGGAAACAAGAGTGGCTTTTCCATGTATGTAAAATCTCCACTTCACTTTTAATAGGATAAATGCAAGTCAAACTGTACCTGTCAGACTGTCGAGGACTGGAAAGTGGGAATGTGGGGTAGCAAGTGTGTCAGGGCACAACCTGAAGAATGGAGCCCGCAAGCCCTTGAAATAGGAGTTAATACACCTCCGAGTGGGCTACGGAGGACTGAAAGGCTCTCAGAACCAGGCCACCGCGCTCCTGTCATCAGCGCACGCTCAGAGTGCACAGGAGGAAGGTGCAAGAAGCTGTGGACAGGAAATCGCGTCCCGCGCGTGGCCGTGAGCGCGCGGGAGATATTTAAGAAGCCCTAAGCCTTAGTGCAGGTGGCTCCAACCCCAGGACTCCAGGGATCAGACCCGCGGTGCAGGTGCTCCCCCATGTCAGGGCCAGGCGTGACTTCCCGCGCCCGCGATGCTAGGGATGGTAGGGGGAAGGCCCTGCTGAGCCTGCCTGTGCCTCTCTTGTGGACGGAGTTAGACCTCACTCAGTGGACGCCGCACAAGGAGCGCTAGCGCGCGACCACGCGGGTCACTCCGTGACCACATCTGGTTCAGGAGCCGGAGCAAGGGCAGAAGCGGTGCGCATCTGGACAGCGCAGACACCGTCAAGGCAGAGCGGACGTCCGCGGGGTGCACTCTTCGGGTCCTCCCTCCGGGGGCGCGGCCTGCCCCGGCGAGCTGGTGGCTGGGGCCCGGCAAGCAGGTCTGGCGCCACCCAAGCAGAGGGGAGCGGCTGCAAACAGCTCCCTTGGCCTTGCGTTCAGTCCATGAACAGCCCTTTCCGCGAAGACGCCGGATCCTCGCAGGCCGAACCCCTTCCTTTCCGAGCTCCCTGCCGAAGGGCCGCCTTTCCCTCTGCCTTCCCACTGCCTGCGTTTCCCCGCACGCAGACACCCTAGGACTCTGCGGACACCGAGGTCGCCGGTGCAGCCCACAAAGCTTCATGCCCAGGAGTGCGCGGACCCTACAGACAAACCCACCCGGTGCTCCAGCCCACCGGGCCGCACTGTGTGGAGCCCCGGGGACCCCGTGATGTAGCCGGTGCCGCGGCAGCCGCGGCGGGCCAGGAGACTCGGACTCCAGCAACGGTGAGTCGCTGTGGTTCGGGTCCGGAACAAGCGGACGCAGACACCGGGACCTCAGGGACCAAGAGGAGGCCAGGTGCTCCCCGTCCCTCTAAGGCTGGGGGTGCAGACGCGGGACAAGAAGCCTGACTCCCACCGCGCTCCGGACAACACTGCGTGATGGGGCTCAGGGGAGTGCGTCTCCAGCCCCGGGCCCCCACCCCACCTACCCCACCCCACCGTACCGCACCCCACAATACGCCACCCTCCTCCATCCCACCTCAATCCGCTCCCCAACCCACCGCACAGCCAGCTACCCATCGCAAGCACCGCCCCTTCTGCCCCCTCCGTCCCGCCCCACCTCATACGCCCCGCCCACTTTTGGTGCCAACCAGAAAGCGTCCCACCCAGACCGGCCACCGCCCCACCCAAATGTGCCCCTCCCCGCATCCCGCCCTCCACAAGCCACGCCCACGCCATGCCCCGCCCTTACACGCCTTCGTCTCTCTCCGACCCCGCCCACCCTTCCCAGCCACTATCGCTCTCGCCCCGCAGCCCCGCCCCTCATTGCCCCGCCTCTCCCCGCCCACCAGCCCCACCCCACAAACCACGCCCCTGAAAGCTGCGCCCCGCCCCTTCCCCGCCCCCTTGCGCTCCCGCCCCAAGCCCCGCCCCGCAGCCTGCAGCACCGCCCGCAGGTCCGAGTCCGCGCAGGCGCTGTCGCCCCCGCGCCCCGCCCGCGCCGCGGCTTGGCCTCCCCGGCCGCAGGTGTCGCGCTGCGCTCCCGACCGCGAGTGCCCGCCGCAGGCTCGTTCAGTGCGGCGCTGCGGCAGCTGCCTCTGCGGCGCCGTCTCCGCGCAAGCTGTGCCCTGTGAGTACCGGGCCCCCGCGCGTCCGCAACTTTCTGCCGGCGCCGTCCCCGCGTGCCGCGCGTCCCCGTAGAGCGTGATGGAGCGGCGTCCAGCCACCGGCCCGCGTCGCGGTCCTGCGTGGGTCCTGTCCCCGCCCGCAGCGCCGGCAAGGTCAAGCGGTGGAGCCGGGCGCGCTGTCCTGTCCAGGTCCCAGAGGCGCTGGCACCTGCGGCATGGGCGCCGCTCACGAGTGTCCGGGGCTCGGAAGCTCTGCCGGCCTGCCCCTGGGGTGACGGCCCAGTGGAGACGAGGGTGCTGTCTCTGGGCGGGCAAACCTGCTGGGTTCCCGCCCCTCCAGATCCTTGCGGGACCGCGCCCGCCCGCAGGTGGAGGTCCCCAGGTCTTGTGTGTCCCTGGCTGGCTTCCGCAGCGTGCATCCTTGCCGCTATCATCCGAGCTCCAGCTCGGAGAGGAGGTTCGCGGTGACCAGCGTCTCCGGGCCTCAATGTGTTCATCCATCAAATGGAGCAGCCGGGGCTGCAAGCTTCCGAGGCACTTGTCACTCAGAGGCCAAGAGAGGTGTGGACACGCGGTGGGTGCCTGGAACAGTACAAGGCAAAAGGCCCCCAGATTCGGGGCTCAGCATGGAAACGGGGCGAAGTGAAGACCCAGACCTAAACTATTCTCTGAGAACTTGGTTCTGCTGAGGCTTGGCAAGTGCTGATCCTCTTGCCTGGCCACTGCAGCTCACCTGACTCCCTGTGGGAGGTGTCCTAGACTCAGCAGAGGGTCTGAGTTGCAGGGGCCGAGTGTACAAGTGGGCAGGAGTGTGTGTCTCATGGCAGTGACCCAGCTCTTCACGACCTGGGTCTCATTTGTCAGGGGGCGGGAGGGAGAGGGGAGATCCCTGGCTCTAAGATTTGTTCACTTTCAGGACAATGTAGAACTGGTGACGGTCAGTGATTTAACTGAGCAATGGTCCTGGCCCTGTCCTGTCCTTGCCTCTGTCCCAAGGGTGCGGGACAGTTCCTCTCTGGTACTGGCTTCAGAGCAGTTGATTCCTCCTAGGCCACCGGACAGGGCTGGTTTTGCCTTCCCATTTACTAACCACTGTGTGTGTAATTTCTCTCATCTCAAAGGCAAGGTAACAAGGGCGATGGATCAAACCTTGGCCAATATTAATATTGCATCTGAAGGTAACTTCAGAAAACACTGCACTGCTCTGAAGTGTGCACTCAGCAGACTCTCAGTCTGATAGGCCCATGAGCCGGTGCCCAGGTTAAGAACGGACTGACAGGGACACCCAGCCTCCCACAGCCCCTGCCCTGGGCCCAAGGACCACTGTCATTGCGCTTGGTTTTGCCACTCGAGTGCTTTCTTTTTGTTAGTATTATTTATTATTTTAGTTCTCTAGCTAAAGTGAGACTTCTTGATTATTTCTGCCCTGTATTTATGAGTGCCAACCATGGTGCTTATGCCTAAGCCAGTCCAGAACACCTAAAGGGAGCCCTCGGTCTGAGAGCCAGTGGAGGCTTGGTCGGCCCACTCAGCAGTGTCAGTTCTTTGAGCAGCAGCCAGGCTGGGGGCAGCCTTGCAGACTCTGATGAGTGGAGCTCTGTACTCCCCAGGAGCCTTTCACAGACCAATTCTGAAATGGTGTGATAGGAACGAAGAAAGTTAGGAATGACTTCTCATGTGAAATTCACATTTTCACTCCACAAAATGGAAATATTTTAATTCCTTGAAATTAGGAGTTGGTGGGGAATCCCAGGATCTTAAAGCTTAAAGATCTGTGATTTTCACTGTTGCCACAATGGTGGCACCTGATTGGCTGGACAGTTGAAACACCCACTGTTCCATTCCAGCCTTTGGGAGGAAGCTAGGGAATAACCCCCAGGCACAATCTATCCAGGACTGGTTTTCAAGCCCTGGTTTTCAGCACCTGGTAAGCAGGCTCCTCACGGCTCCTCCCACTACACCTTGGCCTGGAACTGCTTCTGGCCTGAAGGGCGGTGATTTAGAGCTGTGTGTGGTGGAGGAGTCCCAGTTGTGGGCCCTGAAGGGCTGGCTTGGGTACTTTAGGGTCTTGCCTGAATGCCCCACAGGTTTGGGGAAAGCTTTCCTTCCTAAAGCAGGGAGCTCCTCTAACCGTGCTACCAGTGGTGGTTGGCAGGAAGGCCTTGTGTCTGGAGACATGCTGTTGCTGAAGGAAATGCTCAAGTGTCCCTCCGGGGTAGGCTGTGGAGTGGAAGAAAGGGTGGGTGCTGTGCCCAGGTGTGGGAGGACAGACTGGGTGAGCCTGACCCGCTCCTGTCTCCATCCCTCACCATTTCCTTGTGGTGGGACCCCTCGTTATGAACTTAATTTGTTTTACGGTTCGGCAGAAGCTGTGTATATGTGTTTGTGCGAGGAAGACGGCTGGGGTTGTGTTTGTTGCCTGGGGGTTGTGTTAGCTGATGTGGAGTTGCAGACACTTTTGTTTGTGAGCTGAATTGTTTGCTCACAGGAGCATTCATGCAGGGAGATGTCTCTGAAGCTGCACCTGTGGCATGTGGGATGGTTCACTCTTCCCCGTGGGGTGCAGGGCTGCCTTCCCTTTTGATGGGGAAGGAGCTGAGCCCGAAAGCTGAGCCAGCTTAGCCTCTGCAAGCTGGAGCCAGGAGCAGAGCCGCCGAGTCACCATGGCTGCTCCATGCTTTCTGCGGGGCTGGAGACCTCATTTTGTCCTCCTGCCCGGCAGAAAGACATGGAGCATGGGACTAGAAGTGCACTAAACGTAGTCTTCACTGGAGGCCAAGGGTGGCGTTGCTGGAAACAGAGCACACCAGAACTCCTGAGGCGAGGCACTGGCACGAGTTAGCAGGCCAGCCTGGGATCAGTGTGTTCCCATCACCTTGTCTATTCTGTTACCTTTTTTTGCCTAGTGTTCTTTTTAAGCTCATCGGTAACATTTGCTGGCTGATCATTGTAACTGCTGCCCCTGTCCAGTTCCAAGTCTAAGAGTTTCCTGCTGAGTCTCCTCCCTCCACTGTTAGGAGAGTGTCGCAGTGGCTGTCCTGGACAGGTGCTGTGGCCCTGCCAATGTGTCCAGCCTCAGTGTCGCTGGGGTTGAGGAGTGAGGGTAGGGCTGCTTAAGCCGGCGTCGTCTTCCCCCCCACCAACCTCTGCATGGCTGGGTTTGCGATTTCTGCCTTGGCTTCTTGCACCCTACATGTGTAGGGTGGCCAGTTTACATTTGCTTAATCTGGTGAGCGTGGAGTAAGTTCCTTCACCGTCCTTCTCACTTCGTGTTTCTCTTAGGGATCTTTTAGTGTTCAGTTTTTTTCCTGTGCATTGCCTTTTTTACTGGGAAAGTTTTATTTTTCATACAGCTGATCTGACATTTATATTTCTGTATTTATATAAGGCAAGGGTGTAACTTTTCACATTAAATGAATTATTTAATGAATTATTTATTATCTTCTCATTTGTTGTGCTGCCATTTCTGTCATAATCCTATTTCTGTTGTATTTTTGGATGTGTTTCTTGACTCTCTTCTGTTCTTTTCATCTTTTGTATTTATTAGCTGATGTTATTTAATTATGAAAGTCTTATCTTCCCTTTCACAGTGGATTCTTGACTTATGAACTCAGTTCATTCATTAGGACTGGTAGTAACTCAAGTTGGTTGTGATTTAAGATTATTTTTCCCACAAGAAATAATGGAAATAACCCATTATGTACTCAAAACCTCCCAAAGCACCCCTTAATTAACTTTCTATAATAAAAAGATTTGTGTAATGTGCATAATTCACCAGAAACACCAATAATTTCCCTAGTGTATTCACCAAAAAGTTGTAAAATGTGCCTAGTTTACTAGAAACAATTTCCTACTGCGTTTACCATGCAGGGTGACATCTCTGGCTTGCAGGAAGGAAAGATGAAGTGGAAGGTGGTTATTCTCTTCCATGAGAATATCAGGAATCTGGGCTCAGACTGATGTTTACATATGTTTTTCTGACATTCAAGTCATAGGTCAAGACTGTGGTTGTAAGTTACGCCTAAAATTCCTATCATAACTCAGGCTGTCCGTATGTGATGCCAGTTGTAACTTGAGGGTCCACCGTTTCATTTTCTCTGAAATTGTCTTGGCTATTCGTGGCCTTTTAGAAAGCAACATGAATTTTAGGATCTC